CTCATTGTAATTACCAATAACAATTACCAATAATTATTGTAAGTAAAAAAATTCTGATTGTGTGTGTGTGTGTGTGTGTGTGTGTGTGTGCGTGTGTGTGTATGTGTGTGTGTGTGTGTGTGTGCGTGTAATTACAAATTACAATAATTTTGTAATTTTCGTAATAAAAGTACAAAAAATATATAACTTTGCTAAAAATGTTAATGAAAAAGTATCATATGTATATTGCAAATAATTGTAGATTGAAAGCACTGTTTTTATATCATTATACTCCCGTAAAGAAACGATAAAGTCTTTCGATGAGATGCAATGTCACGTGCAATTGATATCTTGGAATTTTTCTAGGACGACAGTGTGCAAGGTAGGTCAGGGTCTGATTGCAGGAAGGAAACAGTTAGGCCCGGTTAAAGTCGTTAAGCCAAGTTTACGAGATGTTACCGGGAGCGTAACCTGTAAATCTCAAAGGCATGAGTGAGAGAGAGCGAGAGAGAGAGAGAGAGAGAGAGAGGAGGGAAGAGGGAGAGAGAGAGAGAGAGAGGAGGGAAGAGGGAGAGGGAGAGGGAGAGAGAGAGAAACGCGTGCCAGTGGCCACCCTTGGAAAGATCGCAGAAGGGGTAATGGATATAACTGGGATGTAAGAACCGAGGTAAGACTACTTGAACGCTATAAACGCTTTTATGGATCGTAAAACGTCTTCCTTTACAGCCAATAAAGATCCCTGACCTACCCGTTTGGCGAGCGAGTAAGTAAATGCGCGCGCGAAGAGGCGATAGTGATCGCGTATCGATCTGTCGAAATCACGCTTTACTACGCAATAAAATCACGCGGCGTCGTACTTTATTTTCTCTTCATGGAACTGCGAATCGCGGGTTTATTGGATTATTGACCGATAGCTTCGGGAATGCATTCGCGGGGAAAATGTGAATAGCACTGTCGACTCAGCACGGCGCGCGTTTTATAGGACACCAATACCAGCATGCGCGCACATGGCCGCGTCGTGCCGGATTCGACTCACCACGCCGAGAAACAGCAAGGTCGTGAGTTACTATATAACCACGTCGATAAAAACAAACCATAAAGCGCATTACGGGCGATCATCGAACTACCGCTCAATATATCCTGCTTGGTGGGTAGAGGCAACCTCTAAATTAAGTTATGTACCGACAGAGAAGTCGGTAAGAAAGACAAAACGTTATCGACAGAGTAATGCTGATTCGTGCTGCCATCTACCATGAGAGTAGTTTAGATGGATATAAAATAAGTGCCTGGCGGAGTATTACATGGAGCAATTCAAATTTTGAATGTTATTTTCTGTATTTCGTATACTTTAAGTATACATTTGCTAATAATTAATATAGTCAATATATAATTTAATAATTTTTCATTAAACAGCAATAAATTTTTATAGTACATAATAAACCAACGCCAAAAAATAGATATCCACGCCTTAATCACGCCCACGAACGGAAGAATGAAAGCCGCCATAATTTAACCCAGAAACTATTGAAACCGATAGATGGCATTGCTATTAGTATTCATACATTATTATGCATGTAGAGAGGGCAAGGTGATACAATTTCGAACATGATATAATTTTGAACAAAATAAAATAATCTAATCTTCGAGGTTCTTGGTGGCTCTGATCTCTGATTATATGAGAGGATAATCAAAAGGCATCAAACAGAAAAAAATCACACACAAACTTAAACTTCAAAAATTAAATTCAAATTTTTATGTCATTCAGAATTGTACCATGTTCGAAATTGTACTTTACTCTTTAAAATATAAAAATGATGAAGAATTCAAGAGTATTCAAAAAGTATTCAATGTTAATAAATTTAACCAAAAAAATGATTAATTATTAATATAAATATAATATGAAAGAATGATCTTGAGTGTAATCATAACTCCTAATTGTAATCA